GTAAATGAAGCTTCACTTGAAGTAGTTTGAAGTGTAGTTCCATTAATTGACGTATGACTTGCAATAAATGAAGCTTGAGATGTACTTAAGTTCATTGAATGCAACTTGAGTTCAACTTTGACTTCCATGAATGCAACTTGAGTTGGCCACAAATGAAACTAGAGTGCATTTAATGCAACTCCAATTTGTTGTCAACTTGGACATTGGATTCTCATCCTTTAAATCCTTGAGCACTAAGATACTTTGGTTCATATCACCACGTAATGATCGGGCGCATACTGATCGACGGAGGTGCATCCGCTAACATCCTACCCCCCTTGTCGGTTTTGCAGGAGAATCAGTTAGCCAGGAAGGATGCGTAAGTCTCCCCATAACCTTGGGAGAAGGGGAGCACCGAATCTAGAGGATGGCAGAGTTCGTGGTTGTAGAACCTAGGTCAGCGTACAACGCCATATTCGACCGACCTATCATCCACAACCTGTAAGTCGTGCCATCCACGTTCCATCAGGCGATGAAATACCCGACCCCCAAGGGGTAGGGATTGTGAAAAGTGAGCAGAGAACTTCAAGGGAATGCTATGCAGTAGCCCTCAAACCAACTTGCAACGCCATAACTAGAGCCCCGAACTCCAGGCGAGCAAGCCATTCGACCAGTGAAGGCGCGGCGAGCCCTTAAAAGATCTGAAACTTGTCCCGCTACTCTGCCAGAGAAGTGCGCAAGTATCGACACGAAGTTGGGGGCAGCCGAGAAAGAAGAGCTCGTCCATTTCCTCAAAGACAACGCCGACGTGTTCGCCTGGTTGCATGAAGACATGCAAAGGATCGACCCCAGCGTTATGGTCCACCGTTGAAACATAGATCCTTCTGTACGACCTGTGAAACAAAAAAGACGACCTATAAACGGTGAAAGAAGCACACCGATTGTAGGAGAAGTCTAAATGACGTGCAACATATCTACAAAAAAGACCTGCATGTCAGCTAAAAAAACGAAGCAAAAGAAGGTGAGGTGATGCACCTTCAGAATGAACGGGGGAGAGAAGTGGAGAAATAAATATTGAAGGGCTCGGAGTGCAGGGGTTCAGGTCGGCCTTCGCAATGACGTGCAAGCTGCAGTCGAACAAATTATCGTCCACGAGGAGAGCTAGGTAATGACGAGCACCCCGAGGCAGCTACGGAATCCTCTGAAGGTACTCGAGGGTCAGCTCGTCTGGTTTAGGAACAAGTCAAGGACGAACTGCACAAAAAAAAAGTTAGACACTGAGAACACACGCAAACAGATGGCGACTAGGGAAGGGCTTTACCTAAACAGCTGAA